AATGCTTACCTATGAAATAAAGATTATTTTGAATTTGAATTTGAATTTGAGTGCGATTCCCATCTAGTAAGTTGCACTATCGATACATTTCGGAAAATGTGCAATTTCATTAAATATTACTTGCTGTAACCACGCAAGAAAAAAAAACAGTGGAAGTGCCTTAAGCCTCGATTACTATCAGAACCGATGTCGCCAAAACTCACACATTGTTAATTTGAAAAACTACAAAATCTTGATATTGATTGGTTTTAGTTTTAAATTTAAAAAGAAATAACAAATTCTGGATTGTTAATATAATTTAAACATTACCCTGTTGGCATATCGTTGACAGTTCAATACCATCAATACCTATTATTACAAGTTCGACGTTTTGATATTATATTGAAATTTCAATCAATGTGTTGCCATCTAGCGGTTCATTGCTGAACGACGACGAATTGGAGTTATTGATTTAGTTCTCCAAACAAGAAGCGACCATACTGCAGGGATATAAGTTTAACTTTCGTTTCGTAAACAAAAAATTTTAGAGAGTTTGAGAAAGAGTTCGTCCAGGGAAGTACTGCCACCTTACCTATTTCTGCCGTCAAGCAGTAATGTAATGTAATGTGTTTTGGTCTCGAAGGGTGAGTGTGCTAGTGAAATTATAGGCACATGGGACTTGTCAACTTATGTCTCAGTGTGACGGGCGTAGTGGCAGTGCCCCTCAAATCTTTGCGATTTAAAGCTCTGAGTGGCACTGATACTGTTATGGACAGGCATGTAGCTTACCATCAGGCTCACGACTTGTTCATCCCATCACTTGATATTATACAAAAAAATTAATGTGGGTTAAAAACGATGCTAGCCAAACTTTCATAAAAAAGGTTAACAAGTACACGTTTATTTTTAGGTAAGCAAGTTAAAGTTGAAAGAAAGAAGAATATATCCCTGAGAAGAATTAGTAAAACAATTGCTCTTTATAAAAAAAAATGTATACATTTATCATTCACAATATTTCTTTCAAGTAGTTAAACTATTCGTTTTGTGTTGTAGCGAGATCGTGAAAATTTGTTTAGTTAAAATCCTCAAGATCACATATTTTCTCTATGAGTTTAAGCCAGTCCTAAAAATGTCCAATCGTGAAACCAAATAGATATTTATATATATAGATAGGCGATACAAATAATACGAGTGATACGAATTACACTGTTATAAACTTTCACGATTTTCACACATTATTTGAATAACACGGTCTCAAGTTCGAGGCAAATAAATTGTGTTTTAATACAAGATTAAGTCCCGAATTCAAAATCAAATAATGTGACACGAATTAATAGGGGTTAAAGTATGAAATTGCCGATTTGTACTGAAAATCTAA